ACACACACACACACACTCTCCGTGCCATTAGCAAGCGGCTGACTTGTGAATGTCAGTGGGTTCATGATGATGGCTCAGGGAAGTACACGCAGTCTCATGGATACTGCTTGATATTCCCCTTGGTGTGTAGTGCCCACAGGAGTGATATTACAGAACTAATGGGTTTACTGCATTGCCTTTGCCTTGTTTCTCTGTAGATCTGTGTGTTGGCTGCTCTACAGTGTCAGATGTAAAGTGCGCTGAAAGACACAAATGGCGTGGGCCAATAAGCTGCCATCCACCACAGGAGTTAAAATCCTGACACAACAGAGTTACTACTGATGCCACTAAAAGACTCCTGGTATACTGCCAGGTGCTTAATGCAAAGTCCAATCAAAAGCTGTATTTATCTGTGCTGCTCGGGTACAGATCGCCTTCTCTGCCGTTGTTTCCCGGCTCCAACACACAAAAGTTCCAACGAAACAAGACACTTTAGTTGGTTTTGTTTTGTTGTGACAGATCTTGATGATCCACTGTTTTTGCCAAATGCGTAAAGTTATTTTTCACATGAATGTGCACCTCACAGTCTTTATTGCGTTTGCAAGGGGGGTGACCAACACCGACAAATTATGTAGTTTCTAACTCCTCTGTAAACTTTGTTTTCTTTGGCTTTTGATTCTCTATAAAAATCCAAACAACTAGATATCTCATGACGACAACATTCAAGATTTGAGAAACTCCTTACAGATGTAACACTGCCTCTCTGAGTCATTCACACTTAGCTTGCTGCAATGAAGGTGGTGCACCCTCAATTGGTTCTATATTTTGTCTCTGACCCCAGGATGTAAACAAACCTTCATTGTGTCATATATTTCATTTAGCACTCCTGTAGTTTACACGCCCTAAACTCTCTCCGCTTGTGTGGGTTCAGTTTTCTCACTTTAGACTTAATATGTCTTCAGTGCACCTGCTGTAAAGAAACCAAACTGAATTGTTTGTTGCTGTTCCACAAAACCTAAAACCTAACACCAGATGTCACCAAATATCACCTATATATATATTTTTTATCAGATTACATTTTCACACAAAAATATTTCTCCTCTAAAATAGCATCCCATTTTGGCGTAATTCCGAATTTTGACTGACATAATCATAGATTTTACAATTAATTGTTGGCTGTAAAAACCTTTCTGAACTTCTGAATAAACAAAACATTTCTACACACATGCTGTCCACCATAGCTCTGACCTGGAATGAGGCATAATCCCACTAAAGGAGTCTGTAGTTGAAATAGTTGCAGGGCCTCGCTAGTACCAAAAGACAAATGGCTTTAGTATGATTTATCAGTGCAGCAGCCACATACACACACACAGTACAAAAAGTTGTAATATATATCTTACTGATCACCGGGCCGGAAGTTATGTCTGTAATTACTTGAACTGAAATAAATATTGAGCCATTTGCATTTGCAGCTCTTATCCCATAAAACTGTGACATGTTTTCATTTCACATAAAGTGAGTTTGAAAGCTTTTCACATCGGACATACATATACATAGTTATCATGTGCCTCCTGCTTTTGTAGGGACTTCTTCTTGCAGGATGTTTGACTGCATCAACTTGCACAAGTGTATTTTGTATAGGACTGTATTGGCAAAGATCCGGCGATATGATGATCCGGCGATATTATGCATATCATAATGCAAGAGTTACAATCCAATATATTGCTATATACTGTAAGCAAGGCAGTATATTGTGATTTAGAAAAATAGAAAATACAATTTTAGGAAAACTGTCAAAGTATAACATTTAAAAAGTTAACTTGTACCAGAGCAGTGGGATCTGCATTTTTGTTTATCACAGTCCCTGTTACATCCAACATCATAGCCCTCAGTTTACGTTATACATCTCTTATATCAAGCAGTTGGAGGTTTCAACACCAAAATCAATACATTATCTTTAAGAATCAATACATTATCACAAAATAAAATATAGCAATATGATACTTTTTGATATCTTCTTACGCCCACTAAATTTGAAGACAAAATGTGGACCTAATCAGCTAAATGGACAGGCTGTAATGCCACTATGTATTATTGGCATATTGCGTAACTTATAGGTTTTTATTAATACAATATGTGTGCCAAAGTGAATTGAGGGTCACTATTAATGACGTATAGCTGACTTTATCAATGCTGCCAGTATCTGTAGCTTTTTAAAAACCATAAAGTAATTGTCAAACACAAAACTGACACACATTTCTCTGCTCGAGTTACACTTGACCTTCACACCTCGTTTGTATAATTACACATCTAAATTCAGAATCTATCGCTTTGATATCTAGGACATTCTTGCACTGGATGATTGAAATAAGCTACAAGCTCTCACGGCCGTAACGCCACCATTTTTACTGCAGACCTCTCGCCACTGTGCAGGGTGACAACAAGAAAGTGGCAGCTTTCAGTTTTATCGTAGAGCATCAACATACTTCTTGTACACTCAGTTACATTTGCTGCAATATGAGTGTGGACCATGTGAAAGGTCTGTAGTTGGTTCAGAAAACATTGATTGAATGGAGAGTACTAAACAGTAGCAGCATATTAAGCATCCCTGGCTGCCCGTTGAGACTTCAGTGTCTCAGCTGCATTTTGTGTCAGCATTTCTTGCATCCTGAAACTTTGGGTGAGAGGATTAATCAAGTGTCAGCTCCTCTAAACCAGAACAACCAGCAGCTGAGTGGCAGCAGCAGACCTGAGATCACTTAAAGCCTCAGCACTGGGATAGCTAATGATGCACTGAGCTCTAGGTGTGTGTGTGTGTGTGTGAGAGAGTGTATGTGTGTGCGTGCGTTCCAGCAAACCCTGATATTCAACTGCACTGCACTTGCTGCAATTTTCTTTCCATGAATATGCAACATTTAGAGGACTTTTGAGATATCCATATTCAGATAAGACACTGAGATCAGACGTGATCAGAAGTGTTCTGTGGCATCCGAGGGCCTCTCTGGTTTTGATGGAATTGTTTGGAAACAGCTTTCGTAACTTTTTTTCCCCTCATAAATGTGTCTCTCAAAGGATGAAATTTGATTTTTACACTCTGCAGACTCTGGTGGCTGTTTAAATAAATACCATTCACGCGGGCTGAAGAAAATGAATCAGTGATCTCTTACAATATTGTGATAATTGATTAATTATTGATTGTGATTTCCAGTGAACACCAAATATCAATTCTGCCCTCTCAAAGATAGGTTGATATGCTGTTTTAATCTGTTCCGAATACGCTTACATTTCGGACTGTCAAATTAAGAAATTTTAAGATGTCACCTGTCACAGCATTTTTTTTTAAATTATAATAATTAATCAATCAAAAAGTGTCATATACAATCAAAGCAGCTTGATTACCATCCCTGTTCTCTAAAATATCACTCTCACTTTCTGCAAATATCAAACTCATATGAACAAAATAGTGAAGAAAATAAAGAAATAAGAGAGAAACAGAAATTAAGAGCTGTCTTGGGAAGCATCTTGTCAGTTATGCAGACTAGACATTTCTGAACCAGATTATGTTAATGTCAAACATATTTTTCAGTTTTACACAGCGCTCAACAAAGATATTACTTGACTATCCCTGTTTAAGTTTATAAAGTTTGAAACTGACTCTCCTCCAGACTTCTCCACCAACTCATGGACTACTTGTTTCTCTCAGATTTCGATACGGGGGCTTTTACTCCACAGCATCCAGCACTGGGATGATGCTGATACTAGATCATGTTGTACATCCATCACATTGACAAAACATCTTTTTTCCATCTCTGCTGTCCCACTTTTTCCTCCAGAATAGACTACTGCAGCTCTTTTTGGGGGTGGGGCTGGGGGGACTGTATAGTTTTGGTGATCTATTCTACAGTGACAGTTTGGTAAAGTGACACTCACCATGATGGAGTACACCAGTGCGACAATGCTGACGGGCCAGACGGGGCAGAAGCAGGACATGATGACGAGGATGAGGTAGTCCTTGGGCTTCGGGGTCTCCTGCACGGTCGCGTTCCCGGTGGAGGAGCGGCTCAGACTGACCTTGGACGGGGAGAGGGGGGCGGCGGCGGCCAGCTGACCTGCGGAGCCCGACCTCACGGCGACGCTGTGGCCGTTCTGGTCGGCCTCCAGGCCCTTATCGCCGCCCATGTTGACCGTGAAGGAGGTGGACATCTTCATCCCGTTCCCTCCGGGCTCGGTGGTCAGCGCCAGGAGTTGCTCCGTCTCATGGGAGTCCGCTGGCGGCGCGCCTCCTCCACCCTCACCCAAGTTGGACTTGAGGAAGTCGGTGTCCGTGTTGATGGCCATGTTCAAGTCTCAGTGGTGTGGAATTAGATCAGAAAGGGAGTGTATATATAGATAGTACCTATTTAAAAAGCAAAAACGAAACTTAGTTTCAAAATTGATTATAAGCCAGGAGGCACCGACATCCCGTAATACAAAGCAAGTTTTTACAACTAATCTTTGGGATCAACTTTGATTTAATAACCAGGAGTGTGATCACAAGCCGAGGTGTGGTGGGATGATAAAGATTAGATTATCTGAAAGATGAAAGAAAAAAGAAGAAGCTCTGCTGTAACAGATCAAATCCTTAAAAGAATAAAATCAGAGAGGAGATGAAAAATTCCTCTACACATCATTCTTCCTCTTCAATCACTTTCCTTCACCTTCCTTCACATCCGCCGTTTGACTCATTGCCGAAGGGGGGGCTCAGATCAGAAAACCTCTCCTCCTCTCTTATACATCCAAGGAGGAACAATTCATTCAGAGGAGCTCCAGTCACACGCCTTGATCCAGTCCCACCACTTTTCCTTTAAGTCTGTCTGTTCTTTGAAAAGTAGCCTGAACGTAGTCTCTCTCCTTCTCTCAAGAAAGGAGGATGAATGTGAAACGTCTCTCTCACAGCAGACCCCCCAAATGAGCCACCTTCTATCCCTCTCCTACTCTGTCTCCACGCCGCAGCAGCACAGTGACTGTACACAACTTGGGACCAGTGTCAAGTTATCTACATTACAACAGCACACTTCCGGTGATTAAACACAAAATAAAAGCTTCATTTGCCAACAAGTGGCTTTTGAGTATACAGTATGTGACAATAATTAACCGATACATGATATACCCTATTTATCATTTGTATTCATTCAAAATATACGTGTTGTTGTTCTTATTAAACCCTGTCTGTGGAAGGCAGTGGCTGTCAGGGATCCATAGCTCTGGAATAACCTTTCATTTGGAATCAACATTGTCCTGTTTTAAAACACTTTTAAAGACTTATTTATCCTCTATGTCTTAACTGTATTTATTATTATATTGTATATTGTTATTATTATATGTTAACTTATTTATTTTGTGGCATGTACACTTCATCGGGTGTGTCTTTTTTCCCCCCACATACAGAATTTCTTGGAAAACACTCGTCTGTGCTCATATTGAAGGAAACACATGTAAAATCACAAAATATTCTGCATTTATAAGGTTTCTGTGTATACAGTTCAGAAGGTAGAGCGAGTAGGCCGACTCATTCAGAATACAGCTCCTTCTGTTAGTCCACATGTCAAATCTGAACCCCCAAAAGTCCCAATGTTATATGAATGGGGAAAAATGCAACGTAAAATGAATGAAAGAGAATCATAGTATACCTTTATTGCAAAGCAATCTGTTCAACAGTGAAAGTACAGGCTAAAGACCACCACAAAGTCATATACATTGGTTTATTACCTTCCTTTCCCTCCATTTCTAGGTTTTTATTTTGAATACACGGTGCTCGTACTTCCGGTGTGAAATTGGCTTTCTCTGGCTAACTTGACTCATCAAATGTTGGAGCAGGGCAGTCTGGCGCGGAGCCTCCTCCACCACCACCTCCCACTCCTCCCCCACCTCCTCCTCCCTTTCTTCCCAACATCAGCACCAGCGGTTTATGGAGGAGAGCCAGCTATGCAGAATTCAGGCTACTGTATCCACGTCGTGTTTCAGTCCGGGGCTGGTTTCTAGCAGCCTTACATCACAAATCTCTTTTTTATTTCCATTTTCTAAACAGCACTTTGGATATTCAGCCTACTGGATCTGATAAGCAATAAATTCCATATAGTGTGCAATGAGTGCTGTATTAAACCACATGTTTTAGTCTCCTTGTTCAACTAATTGCCTCAGATCAGGCACTGCTGCGCATTAGTAAAGCTGGTTGTAAAGGGGCTGGATGCTATGGCTTCAATGTTTAACCACGATTTTTTCGTGGTTTTTTTTCTTTTTTCCTTTTGATCTGCTCCTATTGATTTTGCTCATCATTAGACTGGTGCATTAGCGTCAGCCTCATTTCCCAAAGTGACTGCTACACTGCACTGTGACCTGTGGTAGTGATGAGGAGGGGGGGATTTCTCTGAATGAAACTGAGCTCCCGCTCTGATGTCATGCTATTGATCTAAAATTTTATCCCACAGCACAAACATAAGTGCATTCAAATGTGTTTTTCCAGTGCATTCCCCTAAACCCCCCCTGTGTCTTATTCCTTGTTGCTTCTCTCACTGTCAAAGCTTTGCCCCTCCCCACTGTGAAACAAACACTCTGCAGTATTCTCTTTCAGGATGTACAAAGGAAGCAGTGTATGGCCTACAGCACAGATCATTTAGCCCGTGTTTATGAGCCCCTAGACTCTTCAGGAAATTGAGAATGCTGCTCAGGACTCAGGGTAATTTCTCCAACAGGGTTCAGGTTGAAACAGAATAATTGTGGGCAGAGCTCCACCTTGTGGACAGGCAATGTGCTTACAGGACTCAGAGAGGTGACTTGGTATAACTTGTTAAACATTTTTTTTTTTTTTTTTTTTTACTATAGTACCTATTAATAACACATACGAACACACATAGCCACTACTCAGTTCTTTGTATTTAGTTATTTAGAATGAGTGGCAGTAGTGTTTTGGAAAAAGCTGCAATGATGGTGGTGCCATTGGCTCACATAACATCTGGTGGGACATAAACACAACAATGTATTAGTGGCAGTCAGTCAGGGGTAGATGACTGGATGCATGATTTTTTTTTAACACACGACAAATATGCCTATTCCATCTGTTTCAGAGAGTTAGATAAGAAGACTGACATCACCCCCATAAATATGAGGTAAATATGAGACTACAGCCAGTAAAGACTGCTAAACAAGGGAACCGCCGTAGGCAAGACTAAAAATAACAAATCCACTGCATCACGCACAAACTCATTAATCAACATGTTGATAATAGTGCTGGTTGGCCCAGATTTTGTTGGAGAGAGCCAGTTCCCCCATTTCCAGTCTTTATGCTAAGCTAAGCTAAGCAGCTGCTAGCTCCAGCTACACATTTACAGATAGTATACAGACAATGGTAGCAATCTTCTCATCTAACACTTGGCAAGAATGCAGATTAGCATACTGTTCCTTAAAAAAAAAAAACTGTAGTCATTATTCTCACTTCAATCACTTAATGCATTCATAATGTTTGCATTTAGGTACATCTTTTCGGCTTTGCTAAACAAAGTAATACAATATAAAATCAACACAAACAGCACATAACAATAAAACAAATGAATTAAATATTAATCAAACTCAATACACTGGAAGGGTGAACAGTCCTTTATTTATATATATATTATATTTATATTATAGATTGTTTCAGTCATGGTTTGGAGGAAAGAGAAAAGGCAGGTCGAAAGGTTTAGGGTTTCATAAGGGAGTGAAAGTCACTTCAGGGAGTTGGGTGTGGTGGTTAAATGTAAAATGAAACATGGAGATCAGTGATTTCTGACTTCTTTAGCCCATCACTTCTCTTGTTCTCCAACTTCTGCTGCAGTCTCTACCGCTCAGAACATGCCCTTGTACTTGTTCTTGTCCTCCTGGTTTTTCTCTTCCATGCGCATGTTGAGCACCGCCAGGTCCTTCTTGACGGCCTTCTTCATGCCGGGGTCCAGGTCCAGCACCCTGCTGAAGTCCTGCCGGGCTTCTGCCTCGTTCCACACTTCCATGTGGGCCTTGCCTCGTAGGTAGAAGGCCTTCACTACACCTGGAGGACGTAATATAAACACATACACGTTTGACGGCAGGAACTCATGTCTGGGACATCTACAGCTTTATAGCAGGGCTTCCCAAAATGTAGATGCACAAAATACTCTCAAATAGGGGTCAATTTGAGAGTATTTTATCTTCAGGATTCCTGTTTTTTTATTGGTAAGTATAGAGATAAAAGTCTTTACAGTCAGTCAACCTAGGATCATTATAAATTACAATTAAAACAGACAATCGTATTTGTTTCCTTGTTCAACAAAGTGGCAAAAATAAAACTCTTTATGTTTTAGAAATGCCTACATAACCCCTCACTCCATGCTGGTGGAGTCACACACACCCTACAGTGTATGTCAGTGCCAAACCTGGGTGCTGGTTGACAATGTCGCTGGTGTGCTCAATGACCTCGTAGTATTCTTCCATGCGCAGCAGACACTGGCAGTAGTTGAGTGTTAAGGTGTTGGCCATTTTCTCCAGCTTCAGCCACGGGACCTCCCATGCTTTCTCCTGAAGGAGGAAGTAGTTCAGATCCATGTCTTTACATACTGTTTTATAGGAGCAAGTACAATTCCGTTTTGGACCACTTGTTTGATGCAATCACCTTTGTTTGAACATTCTTGATGCAGATGATGGCTTCCTTGTATTTCTGTGTGGCCTCTTGGTACTGTCCTTGTTTGTATAACTTGTTCCCTTGACCGTGCAGCACAGGAACGGCCTTCAGCCTCTCTTGATCACTCATAGCCCACGTCTCCCTGTTGTACTCACTGGGGTGGTGGACCTGTCAACACACACACATATATATGGGAGTTGGGTTATTTAGTTTGCGTCAATTGTGGTAGTTTAAAACACTATTGTCACTGAATTGTCCTGGTACACTACACCTCGTGTGTTCTTCCTTGCTGAGGAAGCTTCCCTTTGACACATATCCACACATATTTGTCTCACCCTGATCAGTTCCAGGACAAAGTAGAGGGGTTTTGGTTCCTTCATCAGCTCATCCAGGTCGTCATAGCCAAGGCTGTGGTAGGCGAACATGTTGGCCATACCACATGTATGGATGTGCCAGTCAACTGGGTCTTTTCCCTCTGCTATGCGCCTCATACTCTTGGATACAAGTGGATAAACGCCAGTGTGCTGGAGAGAACAGAGGAGCACAAGAGTCAACATTTAAAAAAGAATTACTACATAATAAGGATCTTACTCTGTGAATGAAAGATGACTGAGATTTTAATATTTGATCCTCTGAAAAAAGTGCAGTTACTATCATGTAACTGCAGGCTTTAAAATCTTATGAATTGTTCCATTGTTCGCTGCTTATGAAGCAGCTCCTGGATTTGTCTGTAGATCACATCATTACTCTCTGTTTTAGCTTTTAAGCTTATGGAGAGATTAAATTACAAACCACAAATCAAACCTGAGATTAACAATATTAGAGAAATAATGTGTCATGTCATTTTTATTTATATAGCCTAATATCACATATCACAAATTCACTCTACAATCTGTACAGCATACAACACTCTCTATTCATATCCTCTTGATTAGACAAAGACAAACTCCCTGAACAAACTCCTTTAACAGGATTAAAATGGAAGAAACCTCAGGAAGAGGAGGGATCCCTTTTCCAGGATGGAAGACATACAATAGATGTTGTGCGAACAGAATGGCAGGATGAAAAGAATTATAGATAGACTGTAAACGTATATAAAGAATATAAATGTTTATGGTGGGTTTTCCTTTCATTCTTACCTTGCACCCTTATCAGTGTGCCCTTTAAGGACCAACCCTGTTACCTTGTTAACTGAACATGTCTCTGAATTTATATACAGCTTACCACTGGAACTGAGAAACTAAAAAAGCCAAATAAAAATGTGAAAACATTTATTATTTGGACTTTGTAAAGATTTCCTTTTGTAGATTTAGTGGTTGAATACGGTTTTTCACCTCCCTTACAAATTTGACAAATTATTATTCCAGGTGTGACAGGAATTAATTAAGCATTTAGCATTTGAATTAACAAGGTAGAAGTAGTAGAAAGTAGAAACAAGAAAAATTACCCCTAGTGCATAGATGGTTGCATGCTTGGTCAAGAGTAACATGGTGATATACATGATTCTCTTTATACTGTACATCTGATCTAATTTTGCATTAAACTGATTACAGATCAATCGTTTAAACATAAATGAGTTGTTTCACATTATCTACAGTCTATTTCCTCCTAGTTTAGTATGGCAACCTTGCCCTCCGCTGGATGGGAGTGATACTGCACTACATATTCAGCGGAGCGTGTGGTGCAGCCATGTTGTTCAGAGGAGTGAATAAGCTCCATCAAATCTAATCAGAGTGGAGGGGAGTCAGTAGTGCTGATTCAGCACGAATCAGAGCCGATTAGGGAAAACTGAGGCTGCTGCAGATTAATGACAGTATGCCTCAACCCATCTGTCTCTGACACATACACACACACGCACATACACACAAAGACCAGACATAACAAATTATAGATTACATATGCATCAACACATATTCCGAGAAAGTATGTTTGCTTCATAACAATAGATATATATGTATACATCTGATATCTGTATGAGACAACAGCTTTCATAATAGGACATTGTCACACAGAAACAACATAAAGACAAAATATTACTATTCACGGAATTCAAAGTGAAACTAAACTGAAATTGAATCAGTGTTTTTAATACATGAATGTTTTTTATAAACCGCATACACTATTATTATGATGTGTGTTTCTACTCAAGTTCTTTTAAGTAACCCATCCAGCTCTATGTTTCCTCTGTGATACATTATTTGTTATTATCTGGCTTTTATCATAATTATCATAATTTTCTGAAGGGGAGAGTTAGGTGCGATGCCTGTGCTTTATGTCTAGGTTTTAAATGTATAATGGAGCACATAAGCACTTCTTATTGAGTTGTTTTGTTGCTTATTATTGTAAGCAGGGTCTATAACTTCCACATTTGCAACAGTCAAACTTCTCAGAAGAGATTTGTACTGACAAACTATAATGCACTGTGCTTTAAATCAAACGAGAGGTAACACAAAAGAAAAATAAAACACAAACTAGCTGTTTTTTTTGTAGCACTCACAATAGTGTCACACCAGAATTCAGCGACCTCACCAATCCTCATGGAGGCCAACAGGGTCTCCCAGATGTCCAGTTTAAACATGTTGCCGATCACTATCTCCATGGGAGTCCCCACCACTTTGCTGTCATCTATCACTGTACGATCATCATCACACAGCTGGGTGCGGAAGTGGAATGTCACCTGGAGTGAAATAAACCAAATTGAGAGAAGGACTACATACAAAAAAAGCTTGTTTAAACTATACACTGTGGACAAGCATTTAGCATTTAATGAAATTACATGAGGGAAAGTTGTATCAAGTTAAAACTCACTGACAGGCAAAGCTAACGTGTTTTGTTGAAATATGGCAGAAAACACATTAGTCTCAACAAAAATGTTATGTCACGAGCTTCACACAGCTCAGTTATTCAACAGGGCAGACAGACAAGAGGAAGGACAGACATGCCAAGGTTGCGTGGTTGTATAACGTCTAAGGAAAGTGAAACCATCCCCCAGAACTGTGTGCACACTGTGGTGCAAAAACTGCTCTTTCACATATTTCACAATGACAGTACCTTCCTTTTACAGGACCAGCGATTTTATAAAATTATAGGATGATGTCAAATGGAACCACCGGGAACAATAAAAAGTAGATTTCCAAGAAATATGAAGCCATTTTTTAAATTCAAGAAGGGTTTCATATTTCAAACAAGGTACTGTCTCAAAGAAGGTGAGGCTTAAGGTTTAATTTTATCAAACGTGATGCAGATGGCTCAAAGGACATTGATTAAGATCTGTAAATATTGTTCTCATTAAAGGTGCATTGAGTGACATATGTCCTCTGTCAACCTCTACTGCCTGCCAGTGGGAATTGCAACAACATATATGTGCCTCCTTCACACATTCTCTTCAGTTGCAAAGGCTTAACATTGTCAGGAAAATGAAATCCATAAATCTCAAGTAATGAAGCCATGCATATTGAACAAAAACCCTTTAAATATTTGCGGAATATATCCCGGTCATGCTTTTCAACAGGCCAATAATAGTCTTATTATTTGTCTCTTACTCATTGCTCCTTTAAGTCTTGTGCATAATAAGAAGGATCCTCGAGGACATACAACAAACACAGCTTTATTGGATAATTTTTTAGAAAAAAATGGCACATCTAAATAAATAAATAGAGCCTCTGTTTGGGCATTCTTTATTTTTCTTGATGCTTTGCAACTATTCTGCCACAGTCTGGAGAAAAACTCCATGGTCATATGATACTGTGCACAGTTTGATAATCCAGTGCATATGTTAAATTAAATTATTTCTTCCTTTAATTAGATTTAGAACATTAAAACTGGCCTTGTGAGATATATATTTAATAATCCTCTCCCCAATTTGTCCTAAAGAAAGACCGATACTGTTTATCTGAAATATGGCTTAATTAGAAGTATTTACTGCACTGTAAATGGACTGTATTGTGAAGAAGCTGTGGACACATATTTGGTGTATACCTATCAGTGTTGCTCTATATTTATCAGAAAGCGTAAATAAAGTCCTGAAGGCCTACCGTACCTTTGCCCCAGTAGTGAGTTTTGGGATGTCTCCGGTCCCTCCATACAGGATGGTTTTCTTGATTCCCTCTGAGCCCAGCAACATCGTATCCTGCACGTCCGACATCTTTTTGTTTATTTGTATGGTATTATATTACCATGAATATATATATATATATATATCTAATGAGTAAGTCTGTGTGTATGATGTGTGGAGTACAACATGTATAAAAGAGTATGGATGACTTGGAGGTGCTGTTCCTGGTGGATTAGCTTAGGCAGAGATAATGAGATTAGAAACTTCTCCTTATGTTTCATCATCTCTGTGTCGCTTTGTGTATCAGTCATCATCAGCACTTTCTCGAACACTGTCGAACTTCAGAAGCATCCAGAAAGGAGGAGAAACGGAGAGTCGGAAAGAAAGAAACGTGAAGTGGATTCAGTTTTTGGAAGTGGCTCATATAGATTGTCGTGTCGCTGTCTGTGTGGTGATGACTCCAACCCTATCGAATGTACCATGAGACCAGAATGAAAGTGTGTGTGTCTGTGTGTGTGAGGGAGAGAGACAAAGAAAACAAACACAAATAGGTCTGTGAGAGTAGGACATGGTTTCCATTCCAGAGGAAATTTCCTGGATTTATGTGGATGTGGTGATCCGAACAACGCCGAGAATACTGAGAAATGGTGGAGCAGACAATTACTGTATGGACTCCTTGACCTTGTCTATTAAACATCTGTCTCCCATCTGGGCAGTGTGTGTGTGTGTGTGTGTGTGTGTGTGTATGTGTGTGTGTGAGTGAGTAATCTAAGGCTCCTGTAGTGTTTGTTAACAAAGTCTGCAAGCAGTTTGAGAAGGCAATTATTCTCAAACATTACCCAGTGTTAATGCCTTATTCCGTACTAATTGCACAAATAGAAAACCCCATAACTGCACCTTGGCACTGCTCGCAATTGTATAACTTTACAGCTTTGTGTTTCCTCTGTGGAGCAACATGGAGGGATAGGTATTTCACCATGAATTATCAGGCAAGGCTGCTGTCTTATCTCTATTCAAATAAGACCTCTATATCCTTGGAAACATACTATCAAGTTTGCCTTTTTTCCACTGATGTGACAAACAGGATTGGGCAACAGTTTGGTATGTACTTGGCAGCTCTCCAAGCACAGGCCATGAGCGCTTTGCATGCTCTCTTGTGGAAGAGGTTGGTAGTGCAGCAGGAGTTGGACATTCTCATCTTGACCATTTGAAATAGTTGCTAATGTGGACCAGTAAAGCCTTTAGATGTGTGATAATGGGCTACACAAATAATACTTTTGAATGGACTTGGAGATCTTCTCACTTTATGACCCTGCAGAGGCAGTAGCACGGTGAGGTGGTGGATTCATAACCAATACCATTATAATATTAATAACAGTATGCTTAAATAATTAATATAACAGGTAAATTGTTTCTCCTCTTTTGGTATTTTTGCTCCTCCATCCCTTTCTGTGGAAACACTGGGCTTCTCTTGGGTGACAGGTTTGTGTTGCTATAGTTACAGCCTTTTACATCATTATCAAATAGTGAGTTTAAAAGAAACTGATAACAAGTGTGATTAATCTTCATTGTTAGACCCCTGTCTGTAATTAGAAATGTGAGAGAAGAGGCTCGTGCTGAACATGGTCTTGGTTTGGTGTTTTTACATTGTGTCAGCATCCTCCCTGGTTTTTCTTACCTGGGAGTGGAGGGAGGGCAGCAATCCATCCAACCTGTTGGAGAGGTAATACTATGACAATGGTGTGTGTTGTAACTCAGGCCTTGTGTCGGAGTGACTCATAATGCTTGCGTCACAACGCCTACACCTTTCTCTAATGCTCTGTCTATGCGTGTCTGGCTGCATTTGTGTGTGTGTATGTGTGTATGTGCGTGCATATCTGAATTTGCTGCATGTACATTGTAGCGTGGGAAATCAAATGTGCCAGTTTACTGAACCACATACACATACGTCTTTGAGAAAAGGTCCAGCTCCAAGCAGTCCTGCCAGTGGGAGGTAGGCCTACACCCCGATCTCCATCATATTTAGCCCTGCTGGAAACCCGTCGCTGATGCATTAGTTCCACTTTAAGCAAGTCATACTCTATTTCTGGAAAGTACAGTCATGGATTTCCTGGGGAGGAGCTGTTCCCTGTGTAAAAGCCATTCATTCATATACATAATGTATGGGGGAGGGCTCCTTCCATGACGCACAACATATACGCACATAGCATAATGTTTATGAATGTGTAAACCTTTTGTGCTCCTGCTGTGCGAATGAGGTTCAGAGAGGGTGAGAGAGAACAAGGGAGGGAGGGAGGGCGAGAGAGGGAGAGAGAGAAGAAAGAGAGAGAGAAAATCCTTCTTTCTCTCCCTGCTGTTAGATTGACATGTAGAGCTGACCTAGCAGGAAGGAAGACGCACATGCAAAAAGAGCAGTGTGGGGGTCACGATTTAGGGTTGCAAGGTCACCCCACCCCCCCAGCCCTGCAACCATCAAACACACACACACACACACACACACACACACACACACGGAGAGAAGCATTTGTTCATTTA